GAATGAATAAGTAAAACTGGTACAGAAGACTACAAGATGAAATTTGATGGAAAGTTTTTTGAGAAAGTTCTGCTAGGGAAATGGAAACATAAGGCTGTTATTGACATAGTCAGGTTAGACCACTAAGTTCTCTGGTTTCAGGATCCATGTAGTGAAATAAAAAACTTTAAAACATGTTTTTATCTGGGCAGGATGGTTAACCCTGTAATCCCAGCACTTTGGAAGGCTGAAGGGGGAGGATTGCTTGGGGTCAGGAATTTGAGACTAGCTTGGGAAACATAGTGAGACCCCCCCCATCTCTATAAAATAATTTAAAAAATTTTCCAGGCATTGTGGTGCATGCATGTGGTTCCAACTTCTCAAGAGACTGAAGCAGGAGGATCACTTGAATCCAGGAGCTCGAGGCTACAGTGAGCCATGATCATGCTACTGTACTCCAGCCTGGGGAACAGAGTAAGACCCTGTCTCAAAAAATTTTTTAAAAAATTATTTGACAGTTGGTTTAATTATAAATCTCCTTTTTTTTTTTTTTCCAAAAAGGCTTAGTGTAATGGTAAAAGTGAGCTCTAGAGAGCATTCTTTGCTTATCATGCAATTTTAGAGATACAGAGGTCTTAGAAGTCAAATAATCCAACATTTTCATTTTGCAGTAGAAAGAAGGCTAAAAATGTGGAAGAGGCTTAGACAAAGTCGTATAATCCATTCATTTATTCTTAAGTAGCTTTATGGTCTTCAATGTGCCAGGCATGTGTATCAGATAGTGACATAGCCAGGACAAGAACCAAGACGTTCTCTGTCCTATCCCAGCGGTCTTACTACTGAGCCACGTGCTGGGTAGACCATGGAATTCCCAGAGCTTTCCAGTTATACCGTCTCCTTCAGAGGAAAATGGAGCCAGAAGTTCACTGACGCATAAATAATTAAGTAGTTGTAATCTACTTTCCTGGCTATTGGACAAGTTAAAGGAAACCTCTACCAGATTGCTGAGATCCAAATAGGAAGCTCCCCTGATGCTACCCAATTTGTTCTTTGGCAAAGACTAGATCCTGGGAAAAGGTAAGCTTTATTCCCCAGTCTGGAGAGCACTGGGCCCAGATTGACTCTGTGACTGATGGGCCAATCCCATGAGCTACCTGCGTTTCTGTCATCCCTGCCTTAAATCCAGGGTGAAACAAACCAGAGGCAGACAAGACATCACATCGGAGGCTGAGGACTATGCAGGACTGCAGAGATGTGTTCAGTGGGAGAGGCCCCAAACGGAAGGAGGTGGTCAGAAGAGGGCCAGGTGCCGTGAGCACACCTGGCTTCCCAGCTACTCGGGAGGCAGAGTATACCATGTCTATTCATGTCTTTTGCTCATTTTTTAATGGGGCTGTTTTGTTTTTTTCTTTCAGTATGTCTGAGTTCCTTGTAGATCCTAGATGTTAGGCCTTTGTCAGATATACAGTTGGCAAATATTTTCTCCCATTTTGTGGTCTGTCTCCCTGCTCTCTTTGATGGTTTCTTTTGCTTTGCAGAAGCTCATCAGTTTGATGAGGTCCCACTCTAGCCTGGGCCATACAGCGAGGCCACTTCTCAAATCAACAACAGCAGCAACTAAAGAAGCCAGAAGACCTAATCTGTAAAATTTTTGAGCCACAGTCAGGAGTTGGGATTTATTGCCAAGGAATAGCAAAATCAATTTACAGCTTTAAGAGATCTCTCCACAAAACCTCATGCAGTATGCAAGTTAAGATTTAGGATTGAATTACTATAATATATTAAGCAGTTATTATTGACTGCATATAGAAAAGACGGGATTCCATTAGTTGTTAAGACCAAGGTGAAAAAGCAAAAGTGTAGTCCAGTGACCAAATATTAGAGCAGCAGAGAGACAGATTTTGGCAGATCTCACAACCTCCTCTGACCCAACAAGATCCTTAGAGATCCAGCTTCGCATTTGCATAATAATATACACAAAGTTTTATCAATGGCCATGAGCATATGGAAAAAAAGTACAAGGGAAACAATAAAGTGCCAGGCATGGTGGCTCACATCTGTCATCCCAGCACTTTGGGAGGCCGAGGCAAGAGGATTGCCTGAGCCCCAGGGTTCGAGACTGGCCTGGGCAACTTGGCAAGACTGCGTCTCTTACAAGAAATTAAAAAAAAATTAACTGGGTGTGGTGGTGTGTCCCGGTAGTTCGAGCTACTCAGAAGGCTGAGACAGAAGGACTGCCTGAGCCCGGCAGGTTGGGGCTGTCATAGTTGTGATTGCGCCACGGCACTCCAGCCTGGGTGACAGAGTGAGATTCCGACTCAAAGCCAAACGAACCCAAACCAAACCAAAACAAAACAAAAAACCCACAAGGTTTTGACTTGAGTCTATGTATTATCAGACAAGCTTAACTGATGACAAGTGATCTATCTTCTGTCTACTGTAGTCAGCAGAGCTGCACTTAGAGGTGGGTGACAGGAGGACAGAAAAAAGAAGTCCACACCACGTCTTATGCTAAAACGTCCTTGCATGATTACATCCTAAGCCTTCACTTAAATTCCCTGGGATGGGAAATGCATATAGTTAATAACTCTTGATATTTCCTGTCTTATTAGAGTAGCCAGGGAACAGCTGGGTCTTCGGAGACCTAAATCTCTCATGATATTTGGGTATTACTTAACTGTTGCCTGAAATCTCAGGCAGACTTGACCTTCCTCAGAGCATTTTCTAGTAACATAGGAGGAGAGACTGGGAGAAAGGAAATGCATTACTCCTCAGTTGATTTCGTTTTTCTTTTTGATGGGATTACTGGTAGATGAGGAATAATTTGGATTTCAGTAGGTAATAAGACCATCAGGCTAGCTCTGTGACTTAACAGAGGCAAGGCAGGCAGGAGTTTAGTGCACCTAGATGGTTTTAAAATTGTTTAGACAATCATATCCAAAGAGTGCCCACCAATGAACTGGTGCCAGCTTGGAAGGGGGTATCTTATGATACAAGTATCAACAATAATTTCAATTGACTTGAGTTAGAACATTGGAGTCGGTACTATTATCCCTCCTCAGCTTGCTTTCAAGTTTTGCTTCCTTCTGGTCCATCCCCATCCTACATTCTTACCACAAAAATAGGGAGCTATTTTAGGACCCTAACTCTGTCACTTGCCTGCTTAAGTAGATTGGCCAGCACTTTAGGACTAGGACTCAACCTCTGGGTATGGTTTCACTCAACCTCTGGGTTTGGTCTCCCATCCTTGCCCTCTCTTTTATACTTTGGGGATCATGAACCCATTTGGGGATTTTGGACATGTGTCTTTCTCTGTCTGAGATGTCCTTTTCCCTCACTCTTTCCCTGTTTATTCCCAATCACCTCTCAAAATTCAGCTCCAATGATGCTTCACCAAAGTCCATCTCTGAACCCTTCTCTTTTTTTTGAGTTGGCATCTCCCTCTGTCGCCTCGACCTGGGCTCCGGCGATCCCTCTGCCTCAGCCTTCCAAGTAGTTGGAACTACAGGAGCGCGCTACCATGCCTGGTTAATTTTTTGATTTATTGTAGAGATGAGGTCTCGCCAAGTTGCCCAGGTGGGTCTCGAACCCATGGGCTCAGGCAATCCACTCACCTCAGCCTCCCAAAGCGTGGGATTACAGGCTGAGCCACCGAGCCCGGCTTCTGAACCCTTCTTCACTAGTAGGGTTAGGGTTAGCATTAAGAGGGTTAAGAGTTCTTCATAGTCACATAACTTCTAATCAGAATATTTATTAAATTTATTGATCTCTTTGGCCTCATTAAGCCTGACGTAATATGTGGAACCTAGATAAAAACTTTAAAATACTTAGTGAATATAGAAAGAAGAATATAAACAAAATTCAAATATTTAAGCCTTCTGAGACAGCCACGGTTGAAATATTGGCAGTAGCTTGCGCTTACAAGTAAACAAACAATACAAAATAAATGAAACCATAAAACATCATCCTTAACCAAGTATGATACAGCCATATAATGAAGTACTCAGCAGACATAAAAATGTGATTATAAAATAATATTTAGCCAGGCACAGTGCTTCACGTCTGTAATCCCAACACTCTGTGAGGCCAAGGTGAGAGGATTGCCTAAGCCCAGGAGTTTTAGGTCAGTCTGTGCAATTTGGTAAGACCTCATCTCTAAAATCAATAAAAAAAATTAGCTGAGTGTGGTGGTGTGTGCCTGGAAGTTCCAGCTACTTGGGAGGCTGAGGCACAAGGATCACTTGAGCCTGGCAGGTTGAGTCTGTGGTAGCCATGATGGTGCCACTGCACTCCAGCCTGGGCGATAGAATGAGACCCCGGCTCAAAAAAAAAAAAAAGAAGAGTATTTAATGTCCACATGGAGACATTTGCTACTTGTGGTTCGATAAAAGAGCATGAGATAGTATCTATAGAATATACCATTTCTGTAAAAGAGAAGGTAGGTATAAATGGAAATTAAAATTTCAGGATACTACATGTCAAATGTTCACAATGATTGTTTGGGGAGAGTAGAAGTGGTATGGTGTTTTTTGGGGGTATTTCGCTCGTTCATATTTTCTCACATAAATATTTGGTCTATAATACGGATGGGAAAATGTTTTAGGAAGTAGAATGGATTCCCCAGAAGTTTGCCATGAGGAAGGTCTTTGGGGCACTCGCCTGCTGCCAATGCCCTTGTGCGTGAATCGATGGAGAGTCTGCACAAGGATTTTCTTGGGGTCACCTTCTGGAATTTCACGACACAAACACATTCTCTGCTCCATGTTTCTCTCAGAGTAAACCCCTCTTCTGCCCTTGGGGTGTGGCTCCCCTCCCCACACTCGAGATGGCTGCTTGGGCTCTGGAATCCATCACTCACTCCCCTGGTTGGGAACTTTGTTAAGTAGTGTGGGGGACAGAGCACACTTTCTGACATTCACCCTAGATGAGAAAAACACGATATGAGACGGCCAGCAGAGTAGGTCAGGACTCCAGGGTGGCTCGTCTCAAACCCGATGACCTTAGAGGTTTCCTTGCCCTACCTGCAAGGGAGGCCCTCCTGCTCCCCCCCAAAAACCTGGAAGTTTTGTTTTGGAGGGTAAGCCCCTTGTAGTACAGGCTTCCCCCGCTAGGTAACTGTTCCAGGGACCCGTTGGCATCCGTGGGCCAGCTAGCGTTGTTGTGAGAGGCTGTCTTTGGCTTCAGGGAATTTTTTTGAGATATTTCAATGCGTTTACCCCTTTCATGATGGGTGATTGACGAGCTCACCTGCCCACACCGCGCTGAGTGTTCAGCAGTTTTTGACCAAAAACAGCAGAAGCCCACTGATCCACCTTCCCTATTCACTCCATCTCTCCTTGAGCGACTTTTTTTCTTTTGTTTCCTTGTCTGAAAAAAGTCCTCAAAGGGAAACGTTTTGCCGATGTGGAAGAGGTGAAACAAAAAACGGCAGAAGCACTAAAAGGCATCAAAACTGACGAGGTCAAGAATGGTTTTGAGCAGCAGAAAAAGCGTCTCAACAGGTGTATCGCATCAAACTGAGAGTACTTTGAAGGCGAATGAAGTTTAAACATGGAAGAAGAAATGCACAATTTTTATAAATAGATTCCATTTGGGGGGTTTTCCCTCATACACATACACCTTGAAATGTTTCTTCCTTCGCTTCTGGCTCAGGGGGACTTGTAGGGTGGGCCCTGTTACCTGCTGCACATGAGAAGGGATGGCAGTGTGAGGGAGCCAGCGTCCTCGGGCTGAGCTACCTGCCGGCAGGTGAGAGGATGGGATGGATTGTCCGTATTTTGTGGAAAGTGATTCCTCTCCAGTTTCTAACACACTGCTAGGATTTTAGGAAAAAGAGAATGAATGAAATCAAAGGAGAGTATGAAGAAGAAAGTTAGCAAGAGAGGACTTGAGTCTAGATAATATTCAAAAAGAGAAGAGTCATGGCCAGGCATGGGGGCTCACTTTGGGAGGCGGAGCCCAAAGCACTGTCTGAACCCAGGAATTCGAGACCCGCCTGGGCAACTTGGTGAGACCTCGTCTCTACAATAAATCAAAAAATTAGCCGGGTGTGGTGGCACGCACCTGTACTTCCAGCTACTTGGAAGGCTGAGATGGAAGGATTGCCTGAGCCCAGCAGATCGAGGCTGTGGTTCACAGCACTCCAACCTGGGCACAGAATGAGACTGTTACTCAATAAACAAGCAAACGAACAAAATAATTTTTAGAAAGAGAAGGGAGCTACTTCTAAAAGGGAACTAAGATTTCCCAGGAGTGCGGTCGCCTATTCTGTCTCCACTTTCTGCCTCAAATCCACGCCCCAGTCATCATGGACTCTCCCTGACTCTTCCGTGCCACCTTTCACATTCTGGTTATGCCCTTCTGGAACATTCTCAGTTCCTCCCTTGACTTCTAGCGACGTCAGTCTCCTCCTGTCTGAGGCTCACGATATCTCCTCTGATGCTGAAAACAGAGTCAGTTCCCAGCCTGGCCTCCAAGCCAGTGTCTGTGCTGTGGATGCTGTCACAGTGCATCCATGTTGCCCACAAGACAGAAAGAGCTGACTGAGGTTCTCAGCGTCGGTGCCGAATAAATGGTTCACCTTTGTGAACCAGGCAGGTTCAAGTGAAGTTTAAACATGGAAGAATAAACGCACAATTTTTATAAATAGATTCCATTTGGGGGTTCTCCCCTTATACACGTACACCTTGAAATATTTCTTCCTTTGCTTGGTTCACCTTTGCAAAGGAAGAAACATTTCAAGGTGTACGTGTATAAGGGGAGAACCCAGTTGCCCAGGCAGGTCTCGAACCCCTGGATTCAGACAGTCCTTTGGCCTCTGCCTCCTGTACTCTTGGTGCCTCTAACAGTGCCAAGGACAAGTGGAGCTCAATATATTTTTTAAAAGAACACATTGAACAAGAAACGTTGGACTGAGCACCATCTGGACTTGGATTTGAAGAGGGATCAGGGACCTTCAGACAAACAACCTTTTAAAAAGAATTGTTCCCAAACCGAACAATACCAGATTCTTTGTCTTCCTTCCACATATTTCATTTACTCACAGAGTTGATACCTCTCTCTGTTTCCACGGCCTGTATAAGCCACAGTACGTGCCCTGGAGGAGGCCACGGGGGAAAGGCTGCGTTATGAAAATAAACTTCCCACCTTTCTATTTTCTCTGTGACTGACAGAGCTGAGTTATCCTTGGAACATGGAGCCTTTTAAAATGTATTTCAGGACGATCTCAGTGCCATTAAGCTGGGAAAAAAGCAAATTTTCTCTATCCATATTTCCCTCCAATTCCCACGGGCCTACTAGGGCCGAATCACAGACTAAAAATAGGCTGGACTAATTTAGGCTCAGTTAGGCAAGCTATTTCTCCTGTTGTACATGGTGGGGTTTTTTTCCCCCCCTCCTTTTCAAACATCTAACTATTCCATTAATGCTATGAAAGCATCTATGTGGCATGAACGAGACTGACGAGACTGCCGGACACACTGAGTCACTTCCTTGAAAGCAGTTCTCAGAATCCAATTCTCTCTGAGCATCTTTTATTTCTCTCTCCAATGGCATTTCATCACATCCAATGGCATTTCATCACAAATTAAGTTACCATATGATCACCATGCATTCTTGATCATCTCTACCTGATGACTGACCATACATTCGACTATGCAAACCACCACGTCCTCAACATCTAAATATTGTGGTTCTACTCGAAGAAAACGAAATAGGTTTGTACATGTTTATTTCTTTAGTTTCTAGATTTCACAGGACACTTTATAGTGAGTATTTACATTCTTGGGGTTCTACTTTCATTATAAATACATATGTATAAACGTATGTTTGGATGATGTCTATGTATGTTTTATTCGTGTCAAGAGAGTTCCTCATTTTCTTCCTTGGACACGGTGGTCATGATTCTTTCATGCTTTCTTCATGCTTAGTTCTCTTACTCATTATATTTTCCAAGTTATTCCTTTAAAGTTCCTTCAAGTTCTCCAAGATATATCTGCCATCTTTAGCTCTTCATGTGGCTTTTAAGACTTTTTAAGAGTTTGTAATGAATTCACAGTGTGGGACAACTGGAAAGAGCAGTGGCCAAGGCAGTAGGTTTCTATCGCTTTAAGAACTCTTAACAAAGTATTGCGTGACTATATCTCCTTTCAGCAACTTCTAAGCTCCACCTCACTTCATCACCCCTGGTCCCAACGGGTGTCAGGTTCTGGCACACTATCTTTTGCTAAATGGACAAAGATGGAAGTAGTTAAATCAGTAAGACCCAAAGCACAGTCTTGATAGGGCAAATAATCCTCATATACTGACTAAGTGCCAGCACTAAGCATTCAAGGGTCAGAAAGATAGAAAAAGTCCCTGCTCCAGCGAATCTCATAATCCCATCGCAGGAGGCAGCCAATTAACAGGTTAACTTTCCTGAAGTCAAGTGGTGATAAGTGCCATCAAGAATACCGGGAAAGCAGGACCAAGAGTGACGCCCTGAACCTCTCTGGCAAGGGTACATTATTTACCTTAGATCTTCGGAGAAGTTGACTCTGATGAGGTACCAAAAAGCAGAGACACCACGAAGGCCAGGATCAGCTGTGCTGGCAGCCGCAGGGGGCACCTCTCCAGATGGAGAAGCGCAAACATGAGGACCCGAGGCTGGGGCACGGCAAGGGAAGACACAGAGGTGCAGAACCAGCACCTTTGCGAGCTCCTGCAGGGCCCACATCGGCGAATATCCCCAAGTCGGCCTAGTCACACAGCCAAGCTCAGAATCCAGGGTGAGAAGCCCCACTCTTTAGGGGAGAAACCACAAAGTCACTTGGCAAAGGACACAGAAAGAAAAATGGGGGAAACATGAGTACTCTTAGGAAAATCTTTACCCGCATTCTGGATTATTCACTTAGAAGAAAAACCAAAAGTAGGAATTAGTGACTAATGACTTTTTTATTTTCTTTACACAATGCAGCAAATAGCTTGTTTTATTTTTTAATATTGAATTCCCTTTATGTTCCCAGGATAAAGTCCATTTGTTCATGGTGTGCATGATTTTTTGATGTTCAAGGAGTGCGTGGTAATGAGTAAAATTGGCCTGTGATTTTCTTTTCTTATATTTTCTGGTTTGCTTTAAAAGGAAGGCTCTGCTAGTCTCATAAAGGTAACTGGAAAGTATAACCTTTTACTATTCTGTGGCTAAGTGGATGTAACATTGGATTCATTGCTTTTTGAAATATTAAGTAGAATTTGCCAGTAAACTCATTTGATATTATTTTCTTTATTGAGATAGTTTTAAATATTGATTCAATCTTTTAATCAGGAGCTAAGAAGCAGTCCTATTTCATCTTGTGTTAGTTTTGATAAGACATATTTTACTAGAACTTTTTCCATTTTCTCGAGTGTGTAACCTTGTTTATAATAACTTTCCATTATTTCTTGATGTCTGCAAGATGTACAGTGACGTACCATTTTGCAATTCTGGAATTGCTTTATTTTATATTTTTTATTCTTTTCTTGATACATCTTGCAATAAACTTATCAATTTAAATACATATCATAGGGCAACCCTCTTTCGGGTCCCTTGCCGCTTGAGAGCTTTTCTGTCTTCTTAATAAACTTCTGCTTTCTCAAAAATAGATAAATAAATAAATATCATATATTGTCTACACTACACTACTATTTCCATTATACTGGTGGTGTTAACCAATGCACTAATTACAGAAAGTAATTAGAGTCACAGGAACTTGTAAAAAACAGGAAAGCTATCTTTAGTTGGAAACAACATGATGGTATTCCAAGAAAACCTTGGGGAATCAATAAAATTAACGGAAACAAAAACATTTTATAAGGCCACAGGTTATAAAATCAACATATAGAAATCAATAGTCTTAATGTAAACCAAATAATTATTTAGGTAACATAATGGAAAATAAAACTATACACAGGATGATTAAAAATTAAAAACTTAGACATTTTCTTAAATATGCAAAATCTATATGAAGAATACTTTAAAACAATTCTAAAAGACACAAAAATAGATGTGAGCACATAAAAAGACATTTCTTGCATTGGGATATGATAGCTTAACATCATGAATATGTCAGTTTTTATTATACTAATGAATAAATCTTAAGTGATCCCAATAAAAATACCAAGAAACGTTTTTTTCCTCTGATGTAAGAAAAGTTGATACCAAAGTTTATACGGAAAAGTAAACACACAAGAATAGCTAGAAAAATACAGAAGAGAAACCCAAGAGAAGGGACTAGTCTTACAATATATTAAAATATAAATCCTCTACAATTAAAACAAAATGGAATTCACATATGAATAAACAAACATATTGATGAAACAGAACAGCCTGGAAACAGACCCAAGAACACACGGACATCCAAAATGTGATAAAGATGGTGTATAAAAACACTGGGACAGAGGTGAAGTTTTTAATAAAAGCTGCTGGGGTAAGTGCATAGCCATTGGGAACAAGATGAAATTGAATCCATAACTCACACCATACACAAGAATAAACTCCAAAATGAATCAGATGTGTAGATATAAAAATGAAGCCACGCAAACGCTTGGAAGTGTATCTTCTTTCATGCCTTGGCTGTAGAGAACGGCAATCTAACAATGATTCCAAATTTAGATGATGTTTTAAAAAGTCGTACATTGCGTTCATGTCTTATAAAGTGAAATCACCGGTTTGTTGAATTCTTGTTTTCCTGGGTATAATGCATCATTTTCCACAGGCTTCTTTCCAGATTTTCTCCCTGTCTTTGGTCTTCAGCAGCTAAACTATGGTGTGCTACTTCTATATGGCAAGTTAAGTTTCTGGAAGACTCGGATCTGCCATATGGAATGACTATTCACTCAGGAAAAATATCAAACACCAAAATACACAAAGGCACTTGAGAAAAAGTGGAAGCGAAGCATTTCTCGAGGGAGTCAAAACTTGGAAGAGGCCCACGTAAGCCACACATAAGCCTGAATTGGGTTCTGGATCAAAAAACAATATTGCCCCAAAAAGAATATTATTGAAACAATTTGAAAAACCTGGCGAAGATCTGGAGATGAGATAGCAGAATTGTATCATGCTAAAAATCTTCTGGTTTTAATATCCTTGTTCTTAGGAAATTCACACTGAAGAATTTCAGGGTCAAAGGGGTATGCAAATTTTAACTTGATATCACATGGGTTAGAAACATTGTAATGGTATCTGTTGAGAGAGATGATGTTCTACAAATATGGCATACAAATACAAATCAAATAATTGGTGACTTTAAGTAAAAGGTATATATGAATGCTTTCAGCTTTCTAGAACCCTTTTCTCTAAGTTTTTATTTGAGATTGTTTTAAAGTAAAAATTTTGAAAGAAAAAGACAGCACAGCAAACATGTCCCATCCCTGTCATGGGGTATCTTAACAAACCTGCCTACTTCTCAAAAAAAGAAAAAATCTACTTGTGACTCTTGATGGTCTACAAATTGTATTTGAAATGTAACTCAATTTAGATGCGTGTAATTTTGCCTAAAATGTTATTTTTAGTTTAAGTGTGCAAATAGAAATTTATCTCTTAGGAATACTATAGAGAAATGTTGTAATGAGAGCTATGTACCTTATATAAAGTTTAGGCACTAAAGGAAACTAGAAAATCAATTACTGTGAGGGATGCTTGGTATTGTATGACGGTATTTTCCTAGCAAAGTCATGTGTTGTCCCTATCAAGTAACTCTTTATCTCTCTCACAGAAATTAGGAACTTGAAATGTAAGCAAAGCAAATAAACAAACAAAACACCACTAATGCCAGGCCATGATTAGCAAGGAATTTGTTATCAGATGCTGGAAAGAGAACAGTCATGTGGTATAACGTGGTAGAAAAAAATGGCAACAACTGTCACCTTCTATTACTTGGAAGACATTGAACCTAATGAGGTCTTAATTATAAGGAAAGGTTTAAAAAAATGTTCACAGCAAATGCTAGTTGCTGTTGACTGCACTTGGCAACTTAACACAAGAAAGAAATGAGCTCAGAATAATAGTGCAGGTTCGCAAGCAAAATCGAAAAATGGCAGGGATCCTCAAATTCAGAGACCTTTGAAAGTGAGAGAGGGCATTGCTTTTCATCCCCAAACATTAAAATATAAAACTGATAAATTAAAGATCTATACATTTTAACGTTACATCAAGGTTCAAAGCAAAGATGTAGCCATCATGTTCATTGTTAAAATCCTGATGGATTTAGCTGGCACAAAATAAATCCTTTCAGTGGAAGGAAATGGCTGAGGATGTGACTGCTCTTACTGCAGCTCCACATGCCCGTGGAGTCTGCGTTTGTAAGAGGTAGTGAGAGTGAGAGAGTCATAGAGATGAGATTCAGTGACATCTGGTAAGCCTGAAGAGTCTGGCTGAAATAATATACGTGTGCAACATGGAGCTGACTGCAAACAAACGGAAGTAAATATATATATTCAGTTTTGAGAAGAGTTTTCTGCCAAAGGATCCATGAGCCTGGGCTAAAATATATGATTTTAAAAATAGATGAAATGACCTTTGAATTCACAGATTTTCACAGGCATGAAACAAGCAGAAATGGCACTTAAACCACAAGAAGAGTACTTTCCCGAATTCTCAACTCAGGAATGTCCACTGAGGATAATGGAGAAGGGACAAATTTCCAGATCGTAGAGTCAAAGACACTAGAGAATTAGTAGCTGTGGAACTTCTTTGAGGAAGTAGAATCAAGGCCCAATCAAGGAAAATTTCCAGTCCCTACGGTGGGATCCTTCATAATATCTGCCCGACAGAATTTCAGAATTACTTCAGAACAGTGTCTGCCATATTATTCGTCTTTTTGATTGGAAGTGTTTGTTGGGGTGGTTCTGTCTCAGTTTCATCATTGTGTATTGGGTAGGTATGTAGAAAATCACTCTTTTTGTTGTTGTAGCTGTTCTTAGATATTGGAATCGGGATATCTGCAGCTGATAGAGAGACCACCGCTCACCAACACTGCAGCCAAGACCACTGCCGTTCACCATCAGAAAATGAACTTGGAGTTTGATGCGGTGACTGATTGTGACATTCTGGTCCTCTCTCTTGAGGGGTACTATGTTTTGCACTTGGAAGGGAGAGTCTAGCACTTGTGGGTGTACTGTGCTAGTCACTGATGCTGTTGCACCGGCATTTGTGGGTCCCTGACTCCTCGGCACATGATAGGACTGTACTTCTGGCTCCTGATAGCCGGAGGAGACCGTATGACTAAATAAACAAATTTTCTTTTTGGGGGGAGAACACCCTCTTATTTTGTCCCATTCCACAGACGTGTCTTCACTCTGTTGATTGTTTTGCTTGTTGTGCAAAATTGTTTTCAGTTTGATGTAATCTTATTTGTCTATTTTTGCTTTTTGGGTCATATCCAAAAAAAAAATCTTTACTCAGATGAACGTCAATAAAACTTTCCCCTGTGTTTTCCTCTAGTAGTTTTATAGTTTCACATCTTATATTTAAGTTTTTAATCCATTTTGAGTTGATTTTTGCATATGGTGTTCACACTGTATACACATCTCAATAAAAGTCACATTCCATTCTTTTTCTTGTGGGTATCCAATTTTCCCAGCATCATTTATTGAAGAGATTGTCCTTTCCCCACTGCATGTTCTTGTAAGCTTTGCCAAAGATCAATTGACCATAAATTTATTTTTGGGCTCTCTATTCTGTTTCATTGATCTGTGTGT